AAGTAACACAGGTCACAGGGTGGCCCGAAGCACAGCAGGAGATGAAACAAGGTGATGATGATGAGGAGGAGAAGGAGGTTGATGATGGTGATAATCATAAGTGAAAAAATGCATAGCAGCACGACACCGCTTTATGCCTTTCGCGGGATGGAACATAGCCTTTGAAACGAGCGTTGCAGTGTGCTGCAGACAGTTGCTGTTCGCACACTGGAGGACACGTAAACGCACTTTCCACCAAGGCCACGCCGAACCGCATGGCCCAGCAACATCACGGACGTAAGTTCGCCGCAGTGTTTACCACAGACTAAACGCTCCCATGTGAAACGAAGCCCCATTGACATCACCAATCATCCCGAAAAAACCAGCGCCATGCCGCGTTTACACACGTAAACACACGTATTCCACCAAGGCTGCGCATGTCACAGCAACATCACGGACGTCACTTCAATCTCCGCAAAGGGTCGTGGTCTCCGTCGAGCAACGACCGGCCGGACCAGCCCGCTGCCTTGAGAGAAGAGCCTTACGTCGAGCAATAGAAGTGGTAGTTGTGTAAATAGGTGTGTTATGCATGGGTGTTTTGACCTGTACCTCTACACATCACCTATACCCCAACACCTGTCTCTACACCTGTATTCAAACACCTGTCTAGACACCTGTATTTCACCTGCATCTCTACACCTTGATGATGATGGTGATGATTGTCGTGGCCCTGATGGTGATGTGATGAGGATGACTCGGTGACCGTTTTGATGATTGTGATGTGATGAATGACGACTGTGTTTCGATGATGATGGTGGTGGTTGGACAGATGAAGTTTTCAACTGTTCTTTGAGGAAAACCGTTCGTAGATTTTTTTGGAGAAACAAGAAGCAGCTCTGGACACACTCACCCCACAGATCGAGATTCTATTGGGGCTCCCGGACTTACTGTGAAGCTTTCCGGGAAGTGGGAGGAACATCTGAATCTAAACTGCAAAGCACACACACACTCCAAAATGGTTTCATAGTGGGTATGGGTGGATGTGGGAGAAAACCATACAAACCATGAAAGGTTCATGCCGAAAATACAGGATTGTTTCACTTTTCAGGGGTCAACCAGGGTTACGAGGTTTTGACCCACAACCATATGATACCATTCTAGTGGACCATCCCAGTTTTGTTTAATGGAGATATATACATCAGAAGATAGGGTAGCCCCAGTTGGCACAACCCCTCGGATGTTGCTGGTTTTGACATCTCATGATTCGACCTACCTAGCGCTTCATGAACCTACTTTATTGTAGGTCTTTTGTCGAAAACCCGGCTTTCTCATCAATGTAACTACAAAACCCGGTTTTCTTTGCAAAAGATGGGTTCCTGATGAATCCCATTATATATAGACTATTCTCACCTGATGAATCCCTGCGATCATGGATATTCAACCATCTTGCAACCGATTGTGGGTCTTAAACCATCTGAATCCCCTTTGGGTCACCTGAGGTTGCCAAATTCCTGCCTTGCTAAAGTGCTCACAGGATGGACTGGGATGAAGCAACCAAGAACCATATGCACACAACTGTGCCTTACATGCTCCAGGCAGGATCAAGCATCTCAAGAGCATTCGATTGAATGGATTAAACGGCAGGATTGGTAGAGCCCCCAATCTTAATGGGTTCCCACAAGCCCTGGCCCTGACCATGCTTCTTTTTTGACCGGCTTGGGCCGACGGTCGCGTTCCATGGCCAATGTGGTGGGAGCAGCCAAAGATGTTGAGGCACGGTCCTGCGGTGCAGGGATGTGGCATCTGGAAGATGGAGGGTGGTTCTTGTGGATCTGAAGTGGTTTCCCTTTGCTACGGTGATGGCTATCAGGGGTTACAAAGAGTTGTTTGCCAATGCAACCCAGTCTGCACATCTTAAACATGTTGGAATGGAGTGAGCGGAGCCAACATTTTGAGATCAAGTAGGACGTGCCACGTTTTGCTTTGCTGCCATGGCTACATCGGATGCAGAAGCTGACCCCAGCAAACCAAAGGTTGATCTGACAGGTCTCCACCGGGAGTTGGAAGAGTTGGAGCCAGTCCGGAGATTCCTGAAAGAAACAGGAGTCTTGTTTGATGACAAGTTCAACCCAGAGACTATTCATGCAGCTGACCAAGACCATGTCTATGAGATGATCAACGCGCTGCTTGGGAGAACTGCCTGTGTAGAAGGGCACCCTTCCCTACCAGTCCATCGACTCCGTGAAGAGATTGATTGTCTCTACAAAGCTTGCAGCATTGTGGTTGGCGAGGCGCAAATCATTTTGGACTCATGGTGCATTAGGAAGATCATTGCCTTCGCAAAAATGAAGGTTCGGCGTGCGAAGGTCAGCAATGCAACCTGGCCAAAGGTCTCAATTTTTGAGTGGGCTAGCCATCAAACCTGTGGTGTTCCATCCCCTGTAACAAGTTATATACATGGATGGGAATGGTGACAGGAGGCAAATGGGAATCTTATAAGGCTAGCCTCACTCAAAGATCGATTCATAAATCCTATTTGATCATTCGCAGATGTTGCCTAGTCATTTGCCAAGGTACACCGCTTCCAAAACTGGTGTGTGGTTCTCAACCCGTTCCTGGAGGACTTTTTCTGGGGGGTGCCACAGTGTGTTGAGAATTGAAAAGCTCTTCATTTGATAAGTTGAGATCTTAAATTTCATGTGGTGTGTTTGGAAGACTTTCAACAGTTTATAGGACAAGGTAACCACAATCCGAAAGCATCTTGAAGAAAAACGGGCAGCAAAGGTGCGGCATGTCTTTTGCACACTTGATCAAAGAACCAGTGCATGGAGCCACCACCCTGTTCCTGATGTCTTTTGTGTTTGTAGGCTTCAAGGCAGCCAAAACAAGAAAAGACGGATGATGATGCCTATGATTCTTCGGGATCTGATTCTGACAGCGATGGGTCATCCGGGTGTGAAATTGTTGGCAAAGATATCCCTACTACCCCAGTGGATGCAAAGTCCCAGCCATTGAAGCCATCCAGTGAACCCATCTTTCTTAATGATAGCCAAGATGTAGCCCCTGAGCTTCACCAGCAGCCACCAGTGCAGCCACCCAGTACTGATCCTCAAGACACATCCCCTGCGCCACCCTGTGCCGAACCCACCGAGCCCAGTGGGAGTCCTGACACTTCGCCGGAGCAGCAGCTCATGCAAAACCTCCTCAATGAGGCAGACCGTAAAGGCGAGGAGGGGATCCCAACAAAATCATTTTCAGCACATGTGTTTTTGGATATGGTCAAACAATGAATCCAAGTGTCGCTGTGTTGAAACTGGCTGCTAAAGGCAAGGAAAAGTTGGTGCAATTGGAAGTGGCCAAGAAACCCTTGGAAAAGCAAGACCCTTATATATGTGACTGTTTGGGTTTGCAACCAAATCTTTCAACGTTCCGATGGATTCTTCTGAGATCTTCTGAGATCTTCTGAGGATTCGCCAGCGGAAGGCGCACTTGCAACAGCAAATTGCGTATTGGAAGGGGCAAGACATGCCCCCAGGGCCCCCAGGTGGGCAATGACAACTCAAGCTGCTTATTTTAACCTTTATATGACTGTGTGTGTCTGTATATACGGTCTTTCAATATCTGGCAATTGGCAGGTGCTCGGCCTGCCCTTCCCACTGATGTTTCAGACCAAAATGACACACAGCCCGTCGACATCATGAACCAAGAGGTTCGCCCATCACCCATTCGCACCAATTCACCGGAGGTACCAACCGCAGCCCTGAGAAAGAACTACCAGGGTGTGTCTCCACCTGCTCTGCCAACGCCTGTTGCCACCGAACCACTGGCCGCAAAGGCCCCGCAGGTTCCTGAGACCAAGACTCCAACTTGTGATGGAAGTGGGGATGCCGGCCTGACGGAGGGCAAGGTTGGATAGGGTCCCATACATGTGGCCTTCTATTTGTGTTTGCTGGTTTATTTACAGTGCATCAACCCGTGAAACATATTCAACTCTTTGAACGTTGGTTGATGTCTGGCTTGTGTGTGTGAGCCAACATGTTTGTGTTACCCCCTCTCAGGTGGACAAGCCTGACATGCCCTTGGTGACGCGGAATGACCAATTGTCACTCAAGGCTGATGCGAAGGAAACACGCCGCAGGAAAGTTGCTGCCAACAAGGCCAGCAAGAGGAAAGGAAGGAAAGGAAAGAAGGGAAAGAAGGGAAGGAAGGGAGGCAAGGCACGGAAGGTTAAAGCTGATTCGCCTTCAAAACGAAAGCGTGGCATTTTGAAAAGGTCATCGAAATGGTCTTTGGATGCTGAATCTGGCCTGGCACATGAACCTGCTGATGCAGAGCATGGCCGCCAAAACAAAAAGCCAAGAAAGGCCAAGACTCCGCCAAGTGGTGCAAGCGGAAGTACAGGCAAAGGGGCCAAACCACCAAAGTCTAAGACAAACAAAGGTGAACGGGCGAAAAGCAAAGCAAACACACAAGCAAAGTCAAAGGCTTCAAAGGCCACAAAGCCAAAGGCTGCACCTTCGAGCACAAAGGGAAAAAACATGGGAAAAGGCAAGGGAAGAGGGCGGGGAGGAGGCCGGGGAGGTCGGGGTGGCCAAACCAACCCTGATATCCAGCACCATTGTGAGAAGCAAGTCACCACCCTAGTGGAGTTTGCCCACCAGGTTGGAGCTGACTGGGACCACAAAAGCTCTCAATTCAAAGCCCATGTGCGCAGCCTGACAACACCGCTTGAAAAGCATCGGCTTAACATTTACTGGACCAAAACCACGTGTGGAGTTCATGACACCGAGAACCAAACTGACCCACACCACTTCTCCTTCAATGATTCGCGTGCTTATCCATGCTACCGTACAGCTGTTGCTACTAAATGTGCGGAGATGGCAGCAACTTGATTGTTGAAGTTATTTTGTGTTTGAATGGCTGTGTATAAATATAACAATGTCCACGTGTCAATCAAACGCATTTTAAACACTGGACATGCCACCATTCCATTTACAAGCTTCGGGGCCTAGGCACTTGGTATGGAAGAAGGGTCTGAGGGATATGGACCGCATGAGACGGAGATCTTGAAGTTGAAGTACAATGGTGGGGTGGCTTTGAAGCGGTTGGCTGAAGAGGGCCCCCCAGCAAATGCTGGCGAGTGATCGGATTTTGGTAGCTGTGCCATCATTATATAGGGGTCCAGCTGGCATGTTTCAGTGGTAGCTTCAACAGTCTCGACTGTTTCAGGGGTCGTATACTCATGGCTCGCCTAGACGAATTTGTCCTGAAAGTCGACCGATTTGGACATGCACCCTGCATGTTTATTTCTTTGAGAAATGGATTGTGTAACTATAATTTGGCAAGGATGAGTTCCCTGCGAGCCAAAGTATACTTTGGTGCCTGGCAACATGCCTGCTTGAAGCAGTGTGGCATCCGAGAAAAGTGTGATTGGGAGATATTGGGAGTTGGGGTTACCACTGCATAGCTCACCTTGAGACCACGTACAATGATTCTTCTGGGAGTTGTATTTTCAGGACTTATTGTAAATAGCACGCGGCCTGCTCATCACCCTGTCGATATACCTGCTCATAACCTTCCACGGGGGTATGTTCCCTGCTTCCGACTTTGCGGCTTCTGACTTTGCAGGCCTTCGCCGTCTTCATCTTGGCCACATGCCGCCTTTGCGAGGCAATGTCTGGAAGGTCCGCTCCAAATTCACAAAGAAGAAGGGTGGTGCTACCGGCTAGTTTTGAGCCTGATACGGTGATGTGTCCAGGGTTTTGTTTCTGATGGGAAGTAAAGTTGGCTTAGATTGCACGGTTTGCATTTGCTGTCAACTTGCAAATGGCATATGGTTCTTTGACCAAGCCAAGCGTGTGTTTGACAAGCTGGTCGGACTGACACGTGCGCGCAGTGACTTTTGATCAAGGTTTGGACTAAACAGTCTGAACATCGGGGTGCAATGGAGTGCGCTGGTGGGAACTGGGAGTCTGCAGAACTGGATGCTGTTTTCTTCCAGCTTCACCTTTTGGGATGCCCGCCAGCCAGTTTCTTAGAAACTGCGGTGAAATAGAACATGTGTGACTCTGCTTTTTGCTTTTCAAAAGAGGTTGAAAGGTCAAACACTGGTGTATGCTCCCATGTGCCAAGAAAATGTGAAGAGGTTCGGGGTTGCCTTTCAACTTTTGCTCTTGGAAAAGAAAGGTTCCATGTGGTATTCATACAAACGATTGCTGAGATTCTTGCCCTCATCATTTTGATGATCGTTTGGACACATTGGTGCCCTACACTGGCTCCCCGTGATGGCCATCAGGAGATGCTCCTTCATCTCTGGTCTGTGTGTGCATGATGCCTTATAAAAAGCATGCATGGAACATATGACATGTCCTGGGATGTAATCCTGTGGATATACATATTCGGTCCTGGTCACTCAAGACCCGTGCTGCAGCAGGACTTGCAATTCGATATCCTGGAATTCTTCGCTGGGAATGGGAACCTGTCGAAATGTATGCGGTATGCAGGGTATGCAACTGGGAGCCTGGACATTATCTACTCAGGAACTCGGAACCCAAACCGTGTTTACCGGTCAAACCCGATGGACATGAATTCTCCTTCTGGCTTCTGGTCCCATGGTTCAACAATTTCAAGGTGCTTTCTTGTTGTGGGTCTGGAGTCATAGAGATTTTTCGATTGGATATACCTGAATCATATTACAATATTGTACCAATTGCCCACCAAATCATCAATGTGTATTTCAATGTTCCCGAAATTGTTGTCATTTGAACAGAGGCTCAAAGACTGCAAAAGTGATAGCCCCGTTAAGAAGTCTTAATGTGGCTATCGTTTTGCTATTGTTTTTGTGGTCTTTGGACCTCTGTTGCTCCGAGTGCATGAATTGAAGGGGCTTTCCAACAATGCTCTGGCGCCACTGAGTCTATGCATCGTGGCCCTTCTCAAAGCTCGCCTTCGCCGGTTCTTGGCCACATATGCATTGAAGTGTGCCTCCTGGTCAGCTGTAAACCGTGGCACAAGTGGGCGTAGTGCATGCTCTAGCATTGGATTGGAGCAGTATGAGTCAGTATCGGTGTCAAATTGCATGGGTGCAAGGAAACTTGATTCAAACATTGTGTGCAGCAGGATTTCTTCATATTGACCTTGTAACCTTGTATCTAGTCGGTGCCAAAGATCTAGGACATTGGTATACCTAGTCTCCCGCTGGCCATCCCAGGACAACTTTTTTGGCGATGATTACAACAGCGCTTGGTGGATGCTGGGTGCTGGAGCAACCGGGAGGGTCATGTTTCAAGTACTTTCCTCCATTTGCTGACCTATGCCTACGGATGTATGAAGTCTGTGGTCACATAACGGCTGCCCAATCCTCAGTGTAATTTTGGAGAGTGTTAATAAATAGTTGAGGGAAGTGTTGAGGGACCAACTCAGGTTTCGAAGGTCTCCTGGACAATGTGGCATTATGGTGCATTTACCCCTAAGCCCCACTATGCCTATGCCAACAGTGGTGCCATCACACAGCTGGACAAGGGTAAGCTACGACAGTGGAAGCGTAAGAGTGAGGAAGAGGGACGGCCCATGCCAAAGACTTGTCAGCAGTATATGAATTCCAAAGGGCACAAGTGCTTCAAAGGCACAAAGTTCCTCAAACAAACGGAGACACCTGTCAGAATTCAATTTGTTTTGAGGTTGAAATTGGTGATATAAACATGGATAGACTCATTATAATATAGTTGACCGATTTGCAAACCAACCTCCTGAGATTTCGAATACTGAGTCTTTCCTGCTGTTGTCCAGCCGACTGCTGGGATTGAGGCAATATCCAGTGCGCTTTGCCTGGACCCTGGTGGACCTCTACGATGATCTGACGGGGTCAGCCAAAGGCACTGCTCCGCTCCCGGTGCCGGTTCCCTCCTGCATGGAATCATTTCTTGCCATGCAGCGAAGCCAGAAGCAGATTTGTGGCCTTGAATGGGCCAATCTGGGGGAGGTTTACACTTACCTAAGGAATGGTAAGCATTTAGATATCCCCAAGGAGTGGAGAAAATTTCTCCCCAAAGAGCCACCCCTGGAGTCAGGATGTTGAAATGAGAAAACCTGAATATGTTTCCGGATTTCTGTGGAACAAATCAGTTTTTTGAAGCAACATGTCATGTTTTTAAACATTTTCCGGAAGACATTTTTGGGGTCGAAACAAAAGCCCGTATATCTCCCGTACAAAACCCATACAAATGCCGTACAAACCCGTATATTGATAATTTCATTGGTGGACCCACTTTTTTAGAACCCATATTTTACCCGTACAAAACCCATAAATACACCGTACGAAACCGTACATAAAATATGGGTCTTTTTCCTCTGGGGTTGGATGGCTCTGAAGCCGGGTTTTTTGGCCCGCTTTGCTATAATTCGTCGAGATCTCACGCTGTTTGCCACCGTTTGGGAAAAATGATGATGTTGAGTGTGAACACACCAAATGCCTAGAGGCATACAAATACTCATCCGGCAGCACTGGGATAGGATTCCAATCTGCTATGTCATATGCAGCCTTCTTGGTCAAATCAAGGCTGGGTAGTGGTGTTGATACCTTTTGGTAGGATGTCCCTTCGAATCAACTCGGGGGGTGGTACCCTTCGAAGCACCCGCCAATGGAGTTGTGCGACTCTACATGATGGAGTTGATCAGTTGTTGGCAGAAGCGCTAACAGTTGATGCACAAGAGGATGCTCTTCTACAGATGATTCAGGACTTTTCATTTCATTTATACATGTTTCTGACACATATGCTCCCTCCACTGACCTTGTTCTACAATCCAGGAGATGGAAGATATGGAAGTGCAGCCCAGCATGCCAGCGCAAGCAGAGAACCCACCTGAGGCACCTCCTATCAATTTAGAACCGTGGGCGGACACTTTTTATAAACTGTTTTGTGATGTGGGTTCTCCAGTGAATGTGAGTGTTCCCTTTTGACCATGTCTTGTCGGTCCAATTGCCTGCCGAGACTCGACGTGAAGATGCTGCGCTGCCTGCCGCCAAGCAGCCTGCCGATGCAGCTGAGCCAGAAACCATTCCGGTCCCTGGTTGGCAGTCTGGTGGAAACAGTTCGTTCAAGATTGATAGGCCTTACGACAACCTGAATGGTCAGAGTTGCTGTCAATATGTTTGTTCATTTTCTTACCACGCGTGCATTTGAGGGGGAACTTCAACAAGGTGATTGTCTTCCTGGTGGCAAAGATGAAGCGAAAGAAGAGCAGGCTCGCCTACCCAACCGGGACATAGCTGACGTATAGTATATATATGCGGTGTTGCAAGGTTGTATACATATATGACCTTCAGACCTTATAAACAAAGAGTCCATGGATGGGGCCACTTCAAACTTCATGCCCAGGAGGTGCGCCCTATTGCCACAGCAGCCCGTGCAGCTGGAAGTGCTGGAGCTGATGAAGTACATGGGAGTGGGAATGGGGATGGAAAGGTTGAGGTGATCGTGCTGCCTGAACCCCCAACTATGGTTCCCGCCACTATAGAGGAGCGTGAGACTTCCCCTGGTGTGGAGCCTGGTGAGCAGTCTGCCGAAAAACCCCAAGTGAACAGCAGTGAGCCTGCGACTAAAAGGCAAACGACTCATCAGGACATGGTTCATCAACCTCAGAGAGTCCAGGGTGTTTCAAGATTGCTTCGGTAAACCCTAAACTTCACCCATGGATGGGTTCCATATGCCATTATTTTCCTACCAGCCCCTGAAGGAACGTCTTCGAGAAGCTGCCCGGCAACAGGTTCGTCGCATGTGCCAGCTCAAGAAAAAGCGAAAAACCTCAATCCACCAGAATGGCTTCTTGATGCGTACAAGAACCGTAACAAGACGGAACTTGCAGACATGCTGATGAGCTGCAATTTCCAAAAGGATCGGTTTGGGGTCTTGAATTGAGCTTGATTTGAGTGGTTGGGACTCTATAGATTCCATTGACCCTGGACTCCCTCTTTTTTTATCTCGCAGGACGTGTTCATGGCCCGTCTGGAGGTGATCATTAAGAAACGCTCTTCTGCGAAAATCGTGGTTGAAGAGATGTGGGTGACAGAAAAAGAGACGCGGGAAGACCTGAAATGGTCTCCGTCCATTGCCAGCATATTATGCATACCATGTGTTTATAAACCGTATGTACAATCTGTGCACCCTGCTGTGTTCCAAGGCCACGCATTGCTGGGGCCAAGAAGATCTGCCAGCAAAAAGCTGCTACTCATATTCGGACCTTCCAATATTCAGTGTGCAAAACATGTTTTTTTTGAATCTCCTTTTGACAACCCATATATAAGTGAGACCCTTCCAACCCCTGCATGCAGGAAGAACCTTTACGACGGCATGGAAGAATATTGTGTCGTTGTAAAAGAAAGGGGATGCCGTGAAGTGGAAGAGTCGCATGAAGAGTCCCGCAGATCGACTACTGCGCTTGAGGCCCCCCAATCCTTTTTTGAACCTGGTGTTAAGGCAAACGCAACTTCAACCGTTTTGGTGTGTTGACAGCCGGCCGCCAGGAGTCCCAGGCACCAAGCATCCCGGAAGGTACTTTCGATGGCCTTAGCCGATTGCAAGAGCGAGCAGATGCCGACAAGAAGAATGCTGATGAACCTGGGAAAATTTCCCAAGAATTGGAGGTGGTTTGAGATCTTGTTTTTTGTATACCATGTCCTGTCAGGTTCAACGCTTTGTTTCATGTTTTCGGTATTTTCCGTGCAGATGAAGACAAAGCTGTCCAAATTTATGGAGTCCATGCTTCAAAAAGCTGGGAAGATCCGTGGTCTAGTCCGAGATCTTAAGCAGCACTACCAAGAAAGTTCATCGATGTCAAAGCGGGGACCTTGCTTTTCAAGACATCAAGGAAATACTTCAGCTCATGTTCGGAATCCCTTCACCAACCATTGACACATGTGTTTTATATAACCCTCTCTCAGGCATGTTGGACAATTGGAGGTGCAACTCGGGAGTATGGACGCTGAGTATGACAAGTGCAACAATGTTTATGCAACCGGTGAGGTCAATGGCTTCGATCACGTGTTTCTTGAATGAGTGGTTTTGGTCCTCATCTGTTACATCAAGAGCAGTTCAAGTGTGTCGTGGTGCCTTGCAAGTCTCGTGGAATGGTTTGAGGTTTCTTACAAAGGCTACTGAAGCTATGAAAACTGCAACCTTTGCGTCTTCCATGCCAGTTTACATGTGCGATGTCATGGGTCCCCTTTCACATCTCTGTCATTCCTGCCAGGTGCAGTTCTGCGGTCGCTGCGGAAAACAAGATTCGGACCCTGGGGTGTATATATGTCACGTGTGGTCGATTATATTTCTGAGGGTTTCATTGCTTTTTTTGGACTTAGGAATGCCAAGAAGTATGAAAAGAAGGACTCGAAAGGACATGGTAAGGAAAAGACTGAGAAGGAGAAGAAGGAGACTCAGAAGAAGGAGAAGAAGGAGAAGAAGGAGAAGGGGAAGGACGCGGGTTCTTCTTCGAGCAAACGCAAAGCTGTTCCGGCTGAAACATCCATGCCTGAACAGACTAAGCGGAGCAAAAAGACCAAGTAGATTTTTGGGTATAGACTTGAACAGTATAGTTGCTGTATAGGTACAGGGGTTGTGCGGGAGACATGCACACAAGCATGCGGTCTGGAACCTGCAATTTGTACCATGACATGCGCTATCGCTGTCAAGAGCCGTGTGTGTTGCAAATCCCTCTCAGTGTCTGATCAACCTCGCCGCTTTTTTGACAATGTATGTGTAGATGTGCTATTCTGTGCTATTATATGATATGCCTTTCTCAAAGTTTCTCCAGTCGTGTGGGGTTGATCATTTTGGCAGATTGCCACTAGACACGCCGGTATTTAGACATCTCTCACTGAGCTTTCGTGGAGCCGTGCTTTGGGGAAAAGTCACAATGCTTTGCTGGGTCTGGGTCGCATATCCATATTTTGGGTTGAGACTCTGTTCCAAACAGCTCTCTTCCCGATGAATCAGAGCACGTAGTTAAATCTCAATCCTTCGTTCACCCACATGCCAGGTGCTGGCCAGGCACTCCGGACCATAGCCAGTGACGTTGCTGAAGGTGTAGGGCCCTCAGCCGGTGGAAGTGCTGCGAATAAGGTTCCATGGAATGCTTCAATCATTTTGGGGCATCATTTATTCAGCTTCCAGTGTGCGCCACAATCATCTTGGACCACTTGTCTTTGGAAGCACCATATGTGGTTGGACCACATGTATTATTCATGTGAACAGGTCACGCTGCAAAACAATCAACATGTTCACAGAGTGGGTAAGAACCTTCCGACAAGAGCTTGACAGCTACGTTGTTGATCCTTTCACCAGGGCAAGTTGCAGGCTGGCTTGGGCTGTTGGGCCATGCGCTGCACCAAACCTAGGTAGCTAGAGCAATGTCCAAGTTCAGTGGCCTACCTATTGTGATTTCAGTGATTTGTATATTTAGATTTCTTGTCCATGGAAACGCTTTTCAACCTCTTTTATTAATGCATAGATAGCCTCAAAACACTCAAAGGACCATCATAGTATTGCCAAGAAACCATGCAATGGCCAATGGCCAATGGAATGAAATTAAATCAATGGGCTCTTCCTCCACAGATTCGTGGTAGCCATGGCCCATGATGCAGCACTTGAAGTCATTGTCACAACCATGCCATGCAGCATTTTGTGGCTTCACACCGCACATACCATTATATATGAATTGTCATACCCTCTCAACTGTGATAACTAAAGGCTGCATCGTAGATTACGCAAAGGACAGGTACAAAAAAGGGTACTGCTTTCTTGAATGCTGACCTGCAAAGGATGTGTTTTTGCGATGTATATACCCAAGTTTGAAGTTCAAATGCTTGAGACTGGATTGGTTGAGTTTGGCAATCAATGGCTGCAATCCCCCTGGCAAGCATGACAGCTCAATTCGAATGCCTTTGCTAAAGTAGCAAAAGGAGTGTTTCCTTCAAAAAGTATCCTTCAAACCTTAAGGTGTACGATGCAGTCTGTATGTGGCAAAAAGAAAACTGCATGGTTAGCAAGAATGCGGTTAGAGATGCTGTGTTCAAGGATCTGTTGTTGCTGTTTTTGTGTGAATGTGGATGTTTCAGCAATCTGCTTTTGACTTTGGATGAACGTCCTTTGTTTTTGTTGTTTCTCAAATCTCTCAAGAATTGCAACCGCTCCGCTGAGGCAACATCGTGTCGAGCAGCAATCAGGACAGCCCGAGCCGTGGTCCAGGACTTGGGAGCCAGCAGTGCTTCAAAATCACCAGGACTCAATGAGTTGGCTAAGATCAGTGAGCAAAACTCTGAGAGAGATGTTCACACCCTCACCAGCAAGAAATTCCTGCTGTCCATTCCAATAGAGTTGACAACGATTCCAAAGCCTCCTGGCATCAGATACTCTGGTGATTTTCATGCCATCCGCCTCAGAGACTGGTGCCGGTTCTTAGTTGACTACGGATGTTGGCATGTCCTTGTTGGCTTATCAAGGGCCAATCCTGTCAGAGAGCAAGCGATCCTCAGAGAATTTTGGAGGCGCTATCGCTTGTGGCGACCTGACCATCAAATTTGGCGTCTTGTTGACTGTGGAGCGGTGGACCTGTCAAGAACAGCACCCATGATACTTCATGGGGATGAAGGCAGGGGGTTCAAGCGTGGTGCTTTTCTGGTGGCGGCGTATCACTCTTACATCGGGAGAGGAACGAATCTTGCCAACATGCAAATGCGGCTTAACTACAGTGGTAGTTCTTGGTCTCACCGGTTCCTGTCCACGTGCTTGCCGAAGATGTGTGCAGACACTGTGGCCCTGGAGAGCCTGTTGAACTTCATGACGCAGGACGCACTTGACATTCTCCACAAGCCAGTGTTGGACTCTATGGGCAACAAATACAGTATGGCTGTACTTCAGGTCAGTGGTGATTGGCAATTTTTAGCGAAGGCTGGAAATTTACTCAGATCTTTTTCGACGGTGCAAAAGAAGCCGAGACCCGACATGTCGGGGGCTAAGGGCATATGCCATTGGTGCCTCGCAGGGCGTGAGCACGTGCCATTCGAAGACTTCAGGGTAACTGCAGCTTGGCGAGCAACTCAGTTTCTACCTGGTGATCAGTTCTTCACTTCGGTGCCTGCACTTCTTCGACTCCTGCATGAGGAGAACAAACCTGCAAGGCTGTTTATGTATGATTTGTGGCATTCATGGCACCTCGGATTAGGTAAAACGTTTTTGGGCTCAGCCCTGGCGCTTCTGTCACAGTGTATGGAGGGCGGAAACATCGATCTTCGTTTCCAAAACTTGACAAACATATTCTTACAGTGGGCGGAAGATGAAGGAGAGACGCCTTACATCAGCGCTCTAACGAAGGAGATGCTTCAGTGGCCTGACTTGAAATCGTTCCCTAACGGGAACTGGAACAAGGGCCACGTTACAAGCACACTCTTGAAATTTCTAGTTTGTTTTTTGGAGTCGCGTCCCAACTTGCATCAGGGAGATGCTTTGCTGTCCAAAGTTTTGGAAGGCGCACAGTGCATCAATGAAGCATTGAGGGGCCTGTATTCACATGACCTTTGGCTTTCACAACGGGAGGCTCGTCAGATTGGAAACCTTGGGCAACGCCACATGGAGATCTACCAAGAGTTGGCAACACTTTGTTTTCATCAGCAGCGAGCATTATTTATATATATGCCGAAGTCGCATGTTTGCAGTCACATATTCTTGGACTTGGCAACATGTGAGACGGAGTGGTGTATATCACCATTAGCGCATGCAGTCCAGGTGGATGAAGATATGGTTGGAAAGGTCTCGCGCTTGTCGAGACGCGTAAGCCCGATGCAGGTAATCAAACGAGTTTTACAGCGTGGGCTCCATGCCACCTTTGCTCACTTCGTCGATTGCGGATACCTTCAGTCACACTGAAAGGAAAAGTCCGAGATGGTCTGTATCCAGGGGTTGTGGCTGATGATGGTTTCTGTGTCTGTTTGTGTGTGTGTGGTGAGTTTTTGTAATGATTATGTTGTGGAAGACTGACATCCCAAGACACCATGGAGACATCATATGGGTATGTGAAGATGTGCCAAAACCACCAAATTTAGAATACCCGGTTTTTCTTGAAAGAACTCGGTTTTTGTTACTGGGCCTGCTTTTTAGTGGGTCTTCGAAGCCATAGGTAGATGAAAGTTGGCCTTCCACTTGTCATTTCAAGAGCCGACCAGGCTCAGGAATTCACCGAAGATCGAAGCATCCGGACACGACACATGGGACTTAATTTACGCCCATAGCCTAGGCCTATAGCATTGACCTCTCAAACCACCCCAACTGATCGCTAAACATGCCTGTCCCATGGAGCATTTGGGAATTGGATTCATGAAGGCATCGGGCCACTCAATCACTTCAGAATCTGATGGATTAAATGATTAAACTCAATCAGCACAGAATCCATCAAGTCTATCACGCAATCCATCAGGTCTGTCGTGCAACCGCAATCACGGACCGTGCCGCATGTCGGTTTCCTCCCAGGACCTGTCGGCGCCCTTGCCTTCCGGAAGAGAAAGAGGCACCGGTTTTTTGCTTCTTTGAAACACTCATGACCTCCCTGACCTGGTCGTTATAGCGATCACACATCATCACACCAGTACCAATAAGTACTAATAAGATTAAGAAGATACAATCGATCAACTGTGGACTTAGGGGTTTGTTGAGTCGCTTCAGTGTGTAAGATGGGGTAACTACGAAGGTCCACGGCTCATAGGTGGCCGGTAGGGTTTTGTAAAGACCTTTCGGTTGTGCATACGTTGCAGGTTGTAAACCTTTAGCCTGATTGGGTTTGATATTTTCGTCCAACATCATTGATGCCTCCACCTGACTGTGCGGGGTTTTGAAGATGAGTTTCGCTACTCGTACAACGAGAAGCAGACTTTGATTTTGAACTACACTTTTAGCAACCTCAAAACTACTTTGTTGTTCAAGAACTTCACCTGTTCCATCACAGGCATTCCGTGCAAGCTCTGTCAGCCATGTTTCTTTCATTTCAAGAGCGATGCTACGCTCGTCAAGAACAACAGAGTCGCACATGTGATGTTGCCTGTGAAAGTGACCGATAGTCAGTGTGAGTGGTCATGGGAAATAAACATATGATTAAACATGCATGTTTTGCTTGAGGGAAAAAGACAACACATACAGTACAGCACACGAAACCCTGATGCCATTCCACAACAAATCTTGGCGGTTGCTCAGACATAAATGTACCCCACACCCCACACGTGCAAGCATCATGCTGAACGCAATCCCTTGAAGGACAACCTCAAAAGTACTGCAAAACACCTGCGACCACGGGCCCTCTCCACACCGGTGGTCCAACGACTTATTCTTCATGCTGCTGTGGCCGCTGTGGGTGTCAATTTGATGAAACCCAATGGAGACATGCAGGTTCCTGCCGGAGATTTGAGCAACAACTCAGCGAAAACACCTTTTTGGGGGATTGAGATCTCCCTCATCTTGCGTGTGGAGCCTGTGCCAGGGAGAAGTCCCGGCAGATGTGCGTTTGACAGACGCCAGACTGACAGACGCCAGACCCAAGGACGCTCTGCTGCAGGTTGGAACTGAGAGGGCTGAAGCCAGGTCTCTATGAGGACTTTAGAGGTCGAGGATCTCCTTAGATTTGGATCTGGTCTCACAGACACAATCTTCAATGAAGTGAAGGATGCTAGAATTAGAATGTGAGTCAATAGCTTTTGTCCTGCTGGTTATTGGAGAACTTCTCTTTTGTTGAACAATGTATGGCCTATACCATTGGGCTGGCCATGTCTGAAGAAAGGTCCTGCTTCGATGTGCATATAATTATAATACGCCTTGGGTGATTCCCCCACAATTACCCTGGATTCCAGTCACCAGTCAGGCGCTGAAGGAACTTCAAAAGCGGAGACTGAAGGCACTTCGTGTCATCGAATGGTTTGCTGTTCGGACGAGGGTGAGCTACCGACCGACCATCGAGATCGCGACCGACCAAGGCGGAGAGCTTTACCGGCAGTTTCGGTTTTGGCGGCAGCAGCAGCACAGGCAGGGCAGGGCGTTTACAAGGGGCGTGGCTTTTGCCTCAAAAACTCGGAAGGCCTTGTTTTGGTGGATAGAACGGTCCAATTGCCCGGGCGTTTCCTCGGATTCCTGAAGGGTTGAGGTATGTTGAGGTCCAATCGCCCACGAACACTTAGAGCCAAGGGATATGACTGGCTTGCAATCAGGGATATGACTTGAGGTAGGGGTTGTTGGCTGAAACTTGGGACCAAAATCCGAGAAATCCGAGGGATACAGTGAAGCAGCTGGGCAACCCACCAAGCTGATGTGAACAGATAGTTTTGGGAGTGTTTTCGTGTGCGAAACCTGTTCCCTTGGAATCCGCCCATGTGGGCGGATGTTTCTGTAAAAGAAACTCCAGGTGTCTTTTCCCAGGAAAAAAAGACACCACCTGTTTGGTTTTCGTCATTGTCATCCGACCTCGGGGGCCATCCACGGCCCAGCTGATTGCCATCCACGGCCTATGTACTGGCATGGATGATGCGGTCCGGGGTGAGTTTGAGGTGTTTTGAGGGTGAAGTGAAGTGCTTACATGCTACTAAAATATGCTACGGGATCTTTCTCAACTCTGTCAAGCACAGCTTTGGTGTTTTTTCAGGGCGGAATCCAATCGCATGTGACTCTACCGGAAAGGCCAATGATCAATGGTCACCTGTGGAATTATGTCTATCACTGGTGGCTTCGCACATAGACCTCCCCACGAAAGCAATCGATCCTATGGAGGTCAAATGCTGATGAGGCTTGACCCCCTAGGCCTCTCTAGAGGCTTTACAATCCAAATGAGGGGTCTTAATGAATTAGGAGTCCACAATTAGCCGATGCACGCACTGTCCCTTGATGCCTAAACTGATCGCTTCCGGCTTCGGGTCGCTCTGTTTGCGCAGGGAGTTTTAGCTTGGGTTTGCGTGGCCGAAGCTCCTTGGCGGGGAGTGTGTTCTTTGGGAATCTCCGATGATTCTGCTTCAGAATTCTGTCCAACTTCACTGGAACATCCTCGAGTTGTGAAGAAATTCAGTTGAACACAGGCGCACCAACGACCATCAAAACTCTCTCAAGCACTCTGGTGTTTTTTTGTTTCTTCAGAAGAGGTGTAAATAACACCAGGCTAAGAAAGGGTCATGGTTGGTCCCAGCGAAGAACGACACTTGTTCAGAACGATATGTCGTTCCATGAGAAAGTGAACTGAGGCACTTGGCTTGCCTGTTCTCATAGTATTGTATCATTGTACTAATAGTATTGAATTGGTACTAATTTTGCCTGTTCTCATAGTATTGTTCTCATAGACTACACCTCTCATAGTATTGTGTAGTGTAGTGTTGTGTAGGTGCCTATAGGGGTTGGACTTTTGATGATCTTGGTGGAACAAAAAGTGGAAGGCGAAAGTGCTCCCCAACGAATCGAGCTGAGATCACACTATGGTGTCCGCTCCCTTTCAGAACCTCTTGAAGCAGTTGGCGCAGCAACACGCGCCTGGGCACGACAACCTCTTGGAGATCTCTCATAGATGTGTACTGAACCCCATCAACCCCATCAATGAACGGTGCGACTTGTTGGCAAGTTGGACCTCGCGAGTTGGTGCAACCTGTGGGGTGCTGGGGGTTGTACCAAAAAAGAATCCGGAGTGTAGACATCCTAAGCACCAAACACCACCAAAACAAGATTTGACACAACCAGGCTTCATAATGAACCTCTATTGTCCACCGGAGTCCATCGAGGATTCAGAGAACTGAGAAGCACAGTGCAAGCCATTCTCAGACGAAAATTCACCATGAATGGTCAGCTCTTCACGACTTTTGGAGAGTTGTGCCATCTTAAGATGACACACTGCCAGCATGTCTCAAGATGCTGGGAGAGTCCAACCCGTTTGGAAAATATTTTGAGTCCAAGCACATACCAAAGTTCTCTATTAGGGGTTGGATGAGGAAGTCTATGGAAGTCCCATCCTCAACAAAAACAGACTGAAAGCCCCGGCCCGACCCGCAAAAAGGACGTCGGAATAACAGCACCAGGTCAGCTCAGTTTCGACTCGGTTTCTACCCGCCAAGCTTTCGGGTCATAACTGGATTCCTGGTGTTGCAGGTGGTGGTCCAACCATCCATTGGACTGAACAATAGGCGGCTATATAAGTACCTAAACGTTGCCATCCTTTTTAGCCCATGTTTCTCATCACTCCATGTATGGCATATCCTACAGGGTTCAATGCAGAAAATGCTTTGGTGGGCGATGTTGAGATCCCGGCGGACACGCCCAACGGTGGTTTGAGTGAGTGGAAGAGATGGAGTTTGGGACCGTTGGGACCGTTTTCCGTTCCTCCTTTTGTCCCGACGCCCCGGGCAGACACGGTGCCGCATCGGCGGAAATGCATGCGAAATCGCTGTTCGAGGTGAAGGAGTTGGCCGAGCTGGCGTCCGCTTCCAGTGCCAGGCGCGGCGTGGTGCTCCACTCGCGTCGACCTACACAGGAAAAGTGGAGACATGTGGAGACCCTCCGCAGACAATGATGGAAGCTGAGCCGGCAGTCGCTTGTAGATCTTGTAGAGGAAAATTGTCCTCTCAGATGATGTTCCACGACAATGGCCGCCGGAAACTATGTGGGAAAGCTGAGCTGGCCCCATGGAAGGACCATGAAATCCGAAGGGGGGGATTGGCTTTCCCACTAAACATGAACAAGTGTATAGTTCGGTTATTGTTGCAGGGAAACAGGGGGTGAGAAGAGATGGATCGAAGACATAGAGGTGAGGGGAACACATGCCTTCGTAGGATGTTGTGCTCTTGGATTCTTCTCTTGGGGGTGTCATCAGCTCAACGTGGCGTTTGAAGACAAACGCTGGTAAACGGATGCATCGACATGATGTTGTTCTCACAGACTTGACTTACTGGAAATGCCTGAAGCTCGGGAGTCGTTCTTTTTCTATATATAATTATGCAACAATGTATAGTCTATGGACTTTCAGTTTACTTCTCGAAACAGATGTCGCATCCCATGTCACAAGTCCTGCTCTTCTTCCTCAGCACAAAGACAACAAAATCGACTATTTGTCGGGACCTTCACTATCTGACTCGTCGGACGACCGTCACTAGGTCTCAGGACGACCGTCACGTGGCTACGGAGCACCCAGACGGACGGCACAGGAGGACCGAGGCGGCTGATGTGGCGATCAGCAAAAGTCACTTGGTTTTTCTTGGTGCTTCGCCCAACGGGTTTCTCTCGAGTGCGAAACGTGCTGCGGTTAGGTCCGTGATGGTGATACATAGATGCAGACTGTGTTGGAGCTCCAGTTGGACTCTGGTGCTGAGACTCCTTTACGTTTTAATGGTATGCCGTACCATCTCGTCCATTTGTTGGGTTTTTGAGAGGCTGCAGTTGGGGAAACTCCCTGTAGACAGTTTGAGTGCGGAAGCTGCAGCTGGATTTGATGGAACCCCTTTTTTTTGACTGCACCAACTTGTCTTCCAATCATAGTGTCAACCATTTCGAGCTAGCCGCTAAGAGTAGGGGGTCACCGGCATGAAAATGGCTTGTGGGGTACTATGAGGTACTCACACGACTTCCTTCGCACTGAACATGTTTGTTGGGCAAAGGTCAGTTTAGTCTCGAGCCGCAGCTGTCCCTCTCGCGTCTCGAAGCTACCGAAACGGTCAAACACTGGTCTCTTGTGACCGGCAGCCACTCGGGAAAACCATCGATATCTTCTTTCACGTCTGCCTGGCCGGAAGTGGACTTAGTCCACCCGTGGAAAATCCCCAAGACATCAGTCTGAAGTAGAACATGGAGACCCCTTTGTAGGGGTGTTCGTACTCTTGTTCCATTACTTCAGTTTGTTCCATTACTTGAGGGTCTTACAGGGGGAGTTCCTGCAACTCATCTCGCCCACACCCCACATCGATGAGCTGCGCCCAGCGCCAGAAAGTAGTTTGAAGATGATTGAAGAGCGGCTCTCCAAATAGCGTCACCAACTCTGCCATTTGTCTCCCAAAAAAACCTTTGGAACCACTAAACTGACCTTTTGGACTGTACTACAAGGTCCTCTCCTTTTAAGGAAGACCTTTTTTCTTGGGGATCGACCCTCCCGCCCAGTCCCTCCGGTCCCTCTCTCCGCTTCAGAGGTAACGAGTCGGAGCTTGAGATGGACGGCTCTGGAAAGGTGGAGCGCTACACGACCCCCAACATGTCGCTCGAACGGAGTCTACGCGGTTTCGACCCGTTCAGCGAGAGGAGCGGTGGAGAGTCGACCCGTTTTCCTCCCCGGACACACGGCGCGTTCCGGACACGTTCCGCGACCTCCGTTCCGCCGGCGACATGGAGTTTCCGTTCCGCGGTGGTGTCGCGCGCGTTGTGTGTGTGTGTGTCCACCCCTGGAAAAAGGGCTCCTTTCACCATTTCCATC